CCAAATGGCGGCCTCTCACGGCTCGAGTATGAAAGTATATATGTTTATAACAGTCGTTCCGGTCTGTATTTTTGGAGAGGAGAGGGCGCTGCACCCTGGTCGCCTTGAGAATCGAACGCAAGCACCGCAGGAGGTGTGGGGTAGGGGACTCTGGGCGCGGCCCCTTCTGCGTTTACCACGGATAAAGATGAAGTTCGTATGCATACCGGGCAGAAATGCCGTGAGCGTTGATCGAGCGCGATGAATGTAACATGTCGGCTGGATGTGTTAATAGCCGGCAACGGTTTTCTTCGTGCCTACAAATGAGGCTACAGCAGTACTGCTGTACCCCGGTTTAGTTGCACACCTCCAGTGTGCGTTTTTATTTTTCCCAGTACCTCCAACTTCCAAAATCTACAGGGTGGGTTCCTGATCCGCTGCCACAGATTCCCAGCGGAAACACGTGGCACCAACAGGAGAAAAAAAAATAAAAGCACGGCAGGGAACAGACTCGTCCAAGCCTCATGGTACGTTCCCCTGGACAACATTGAAGTCGCTGCAACAACTGCAATAGAAAGACCTTTCCCCCTTCCTCACGTTCTTCCACAAGTGCCTACACAGCGCTGTGGACCCGAGGACTGGGAAGAGGCAAGGTCCAACTGCACTTGATATCGTTGTTGCCTGGAATCTCCCGCGAGAAAACCCGTGCCGTATCATCAGTCATCTGAACTTTTGGGAAGGTACACCCCAAAAGGTTACCTGTGATTTTTCGATGTGTCGGCATCACGTCCTCTAAAGCAGTAGTAGACATTCGTCCATAGCAGTTTCCCAAGTTTGGATGCGTCTCAAAATCTCGCCATACGTGTTTGTTGTTTCTCACATTGGCTCTTAAGTCCCCAAAAAATGGGGAGCCCGTGGTCTAAGAGGGTATACCTCCTGACGTCCCCCATCTTAATCTAGACCGGCTGTGTACCCTATCTGTGCCATACAGCAACACTCCTTAACAGGAGCCCGTGGTCTCAACACCCGGCACATCCGACGCCGCGGGGAAACAAAAATTGGGCACAAACCGCTCGGAAAGAGAAAACAAAATGGATAGAAATGAAATGCTGACGCACCGACCGTTCTACAGAAGAGCCCTCGGAAACCGATGAAAGTAAGACAAGAGCAAAAAATAACGGACGCTTCCCACACCCGCCTCAAGAAAAAATCAGAGTAATGTACTAGCACCAGGCACTACGCACCAGGGCATGGGAGGAATGGAGCAAGCATCACGTGTGGATGCTATCTTTGAGTTGAAGCTAGACACGCTGCTGTAGATCAATACTGCTGTGGAACCTTGGATGATAGGTTTGGTCAAGCTTACTGACACCCGCAAAGCTACTATCCTTGTGTGGAGAAGCGGCGAGGGAAAAGCACGCGCGTGAGTCTTGCGACCAACAATAATCCGCTCTCGGTTGTTGCCACGTCATGTGGGCAGGAAGCCTAAGCCTCTTGTCCGATCTTTTTTATGCCGATAGGACATCTCGCAAATATTGTAGGCAAAACGGAACGCTCCCTTGAAAATACCCCATTTTTGAAAGCGATGTTTTGCGTCTCCTGTGCGTTCGCCAATTTCAACTTGACCGTCGATGATGGGAAGGAAATGCTGAGCTTCTCGCGATAATGATTTCGGCAGGCATTGTCCGTCGCGGAAAGGCGGAGAAAATCACCGCTGTTTGACCTTGCTTCCTTCTCTCGTGTGACCCGGGCTGGTCGGTCCAGAAATGGTTATGGAATGACAAGACATCCAGAATTGTTATGGAATGACAAACACGCAAGTCTGCGCGTAGGGATCTGGTCCACGCACCCAACAGTCTCCCAACGCATTCTAGGCACCGGGAGGTGCTCGGAAGGGGTATGCGTACTTTTCGCGTGCAGGCAGCGCGCTACGTTGGCGAAACAAGGTTTAGTTAGTCGCAAAACGCAAGAAAATGGGCCTCTGATCTACGAAACACAGCTCGATGTGGGCCACTGTGTAAGGAACATCCCCAAAAGCCCATCAAATCATGTCACAATTGGCCCACCCCATATCTCCGAGTCATGCCCCCTGGTTGAACCTTGATGGCTAAACGGAAAACGCGAAAACATGAAATCGCTCCCGGGATGACACCGTACATGTGCCTACGATATTCGTCCCGACGATGTCGCTATATTGTGAATGTGAAGCTCGTTGTTTTTGCGGTCTGAGGACAGCAGAGTTTGGATATCGAAACCTCCAAGCCGTGGCGTGTGGAGGAGGGACTCCCTATTGGTGTAGCTTGGTTCGGCTGTGTGGTAAGCAAATGAAGGTAGACACACGTTCCTCGAAGTCAGTCCGACCAGACCGTGCTTCGAGAGAATGTGCCCGCACTTACCGAACCCTGAACCGTTTCTGTTGGGAGTATGTAGTTGGTACTGAGACTCGGCGACTCTCCTCGCACGTTGCGGAGCGCCGGCTGCTGAACCTCCACACCTCCGGAAAAGAACGCAGCCGTGCCACACGGCGGGTTGAAATGCATGCTCACAAGTGCCATCATCGCTGGAGCCCCGGCATTTGTCCGCACGTTAGTCTTACGGCCTCGGGCTGGCGTTTTATGTTTTCTTCCCTGTCTAGGATGGCTCTGTTGTGGAGTTTTCCTCTCGGCCACGAGAATGAATGATGAACCGTTTTCCCGACCGAGGTTTACACTCTCATCGAAACGCCTACCTTTGAGTTGCCGAAACCGCCCGGTAGTTTCCCTCCTTTTGTTCGATTTGGCCCCGCCCCCATGATCGCCGAAATCCTGTCTCTCCGCCCATGTGTTGTATTTTTTTTTTTGTTCCCCGGGGGAAGGCTTGGGTTGGAAGCGGACGGGTAAACCCAATACCCCGCCTTTCTTAATTTCCCCCCCGAGAGTGTCTTTTTCAAGAGAAGTCCTGCCTCTGCTCTCTGTCTATGCTTGAGATTCGATATTTTCCAAGCATTACAGAACATCACATCATGACTAGCGGTAGGTACCATTTCCAGAATCAGCCAACAATACCCACGCACGGTCCTGCTCCATCTTGCTGCTTGTGCTCGCAGACCTTGCTCACTGCGAGAGCTGAGCGCAAGCACAACACCACTATTGTAGGTTTGAAGAACGCCGTGTGCCTCGGGTGGCCGTTTCCGTGCAATAACCCCTCCGAGTTGTTGAGTCCCAGGGCCTTTATGCACAAATGATGTAGAACATTGCCCCTCCCCGTGAAAAATTGTTCCCGCAGGTACTATGGCAGCGTGTCCCAAAACAAAACCACCCCCTGTCCGGCTCCGTTGCGGCAATAGTTATACGAGAAAACTTGCAACCCATTTGGTAACTTTCCCACGTGGCCTTGCGACTACTGTGCTTGTTTGTCCACTGTGTCGTGGTGCGGCCCGTTGTTTCCCTTCTCTCTTCTATATAATAGTGTTGGGTTGCTCCCGACCTCGCCTTGACAGAGCTTGGTCTGGGCGGGTACTTCATCGTTCCATGCAGCAGTGGTGTCGCAATCAGCTCATTTTTGTTTGTCCTGCAACGTCCGTCGCTCTTTGCACCGCTTTCTTGGACGCTCCACAGATACAGTAGAGGTCCTCTGCGATGGCTTCGACGGACCGCGCCGTGCTTTCGGCGCTGTTCCAGTCTACCCGCGGGTCTGGTTGGAAGCAGAGCAACAACTGGAACACCGACGCTCCTCTCTCGGATTGGTACGGGGTTGACGTCGATGGCGAGGGCCGCGTGGTGAACCTGTGTTTGCCGGATAACAACCTCCAAGGTAGGTACAGTACGCATCTTGCTTGCTTTCCCGCCGCACTATTTTACATGCGGCGTGTGACGTGATTGGTTTTGCTTGCTTTGCCGCCACACTATTCTACATGCGGCGTGTGACGTGATTGGTCTTCATCGTGAATGTTTCGTTCCAAACTGCCCTTCAGATGGGTAGCAGCGCAGAGCTCACCTCCAGTCAACGCTGCGTGTTGGCGGTTTGCTGGGTTCTGCGAGAAGGATAATCAAAAAAGAGAACCCGTAGTACCTCCCAGCACGCAGTCGTACGATGGCGCTGATATGGGCAGAATCTGCCAGACACTGGACACAAGTCTTCGCGGCTTACCGTGGTCCTTGAACTTGAGGTAATGTCCGCTATAAGTGTGTCACCAGTCATTCCCCGGTTACCAATGCCTGTTGTACGACACCATTCGTGGGGTCTATTTGGTGTACTGTCGGCGCCTGATGCCTCGGGTGTTGTATCCTCTAGAGCCATGCATGCCACCCGATCTGCAAATGAATTGATGTCTGGCTGTGTCGGCCTGAGGCGTGGTGGTTGGGATGGTTTGGTTTGTGTTT